CCTTTTCCCAACAGTCAGTATCTTATCCATCCTATTCATATGATCACTCATACTTTTATCATATACACTTTGGTTTGCAGGGGGCAGAGGAGGATTTTGTATGTACCTATTCTCCTTCATGTCTTTCAACTATTCTTCCTCCATGTCTTATTAATGTGGCTACCAGTTAATATTAAGAAATGGCACTGTAAGCTATTAGTAATTTTTAGTTATATCCAATTTGTCCTCTACAGTTTGCTTTCAAACCTGTGGACATAGGAATATAGTTCATGGTAACCTCCTCTGAGCCTGTAGATCTTATCTTTGGGAACATAATCAAGGGGCCACTTCACATCTAGAGCCAATGCTGTCCTCCCAGAACACACTACATTGTCACTCAGAAACACTTTATTGGATTTTGGGTAAGATGGAGCCATAGGTCTAATCTCTTACTTAGGGCTGTGTGTGTGTGTGTGTGTGTGTGAGAGAGAGAGAGAGAGAGAGAGAGAGAGAGAGAGAAACAGAGACAGAGAAACAGAAATGTGGTAACATACATTATTGTATTTCACACATATATACTATATGAGATGAGCCCTATGGCCTTGCTATTATATATTATACAGATATGTGATGTCATATAAGTTACATAAATGCATGTTATGCATAACATACATATATGCTGTATAGACTCCCAGAATTTCTCTTCCTTAACTTATACCTTTATTATTTAATACTACACAAAACCTTTTCATGATCTTTATGAGCAGTTACCAAACACGATGAATGCTGCTTCCAAGTGCCATCCATGGAGTGTAATCCAATGGAATGACTCGTAAAAACCTCAGTGTGTCTGCCTTATTCACCAGACTGGCACAGTGTGACTTTGGGCTCCTTCCTAGTCAACAAGACCATGAAAGGTACACGTTCTGAACAGATTCAGGACACTGAGGCAGCCATAACAGCACAACTAAAGATACCCATGCAAAAAGACTTCCAGAACTGCTTTGGAAAGTGGCAAGAATGATAGGATAATTGTGTTCGAAGCAGACAGGAGTGTTTTGAGGGGATTAATGGCAATGTGTCTTTTCCTGTAATAATTTTTAAAAATTTAAACATTCATTATTATGTTTCACCTCATGTTACCTATATGTTAGACCTCATATAACCCAAGGTCTGAGTTTTGGTTTCTTTAAAAATTCTTACATTGAACCCTAATGAGGTCCCCAGGGGTTGGCCCTCATGCAGGGATTACTGCTGTTGTAAAGGACCTCAGAGAGCATATCAGGCCCTTCCAGCATAAATACACATGGCTAGCAGGTGCCATCTAGGAAGCACGGGGAGACCTCACCAGAAACCAACTGTTCTAGAGCCTCCATGTTGGACTTCCCAGCCTCTGGAACAGTAAGAAATAAATGTCTGCTGTTGGTAAGATATCCAGGAGAAGGAGGCTTGTTATTGCAGTCTGAATAGACCAAGCCAGGTGCCCATGCCTGGTAATGTAGGAATTATAATGAGAATTTTATTCCCTTTTCTTTAGCTACTTGCTTCAAATGTCAGTCTTTGCTTTTCTCTTTCATATTTCACATCCAATCAGTGGCCATTACAGATGAATTTTTCCTTCACATCATCTTCTGTTTTTATTTCCTTTTAAATTTTCTCTCCAGGATCCTAATTTACATCTTTAGCATCTTGTACCTAGATAATTTCAAAAGCTCCCTTCTACTTCATGTGCCTGACATGGTCTCCGGCCTAATTAAATGTCTTCCTTTACCCAACATATTAATGGAATCCTCACAATGATCCACTGGAGTAAGAATCGTTAGTCCTATCTTTCAGATAAGAAAGGTAGGAGAGTTTAATAAAAATAGTGTCCCAAATCATCCAATAATGGGAGGCGACACAGACATTTAACCCATTAAATTTAACCCATCTTTCCATAAAATTAGATTATCTCCCAGTTAAACATCTATTTAGGGGCGAGTGGCCAGAACAGGAACAACACCAACATGTGGTGTTGGTAAGTGCTGCGGGCTGGGTGCAGTTTTTCCCTCAAGGGTTCCCGTATTGCAAGTTGGGTCCTCAGTGTGGCAAAGCTAAGAAGTGCGCCCTGGCAGGAAGGGGACTTCCCTCAGGAGGGATCAAGGTAGCTCTCCAGGGACCCTGAGTTAGTTCTTACAAAAGCAAGTTATTATAAAAGCCTGAGCCTGACCCTGAATAGCCCTCCAGCTTCCTGCTTGGCAATGTGATCTCCCTTTCCACAAGTGCTTTTTGCCACTATGGTGTCATCCACCACATGGGTCTCACCAGCGCCATGACCTTGAACCTTCAGAACTGAGCGATAAGTAAGCCTCCTTTCCAAAGTCAGCCTGCTTCAGGGACTTCATTATAGTAACAAAGATAGACAAATACAGTATGCAAGTGACAGGAAGAGAAAAATGGTGACACTAAAAGAAAGAACAGAAGGGAAACGTCCAAGGTTAGTTAAAGTTTGGAGCTGGGTCACTGAAGGTTTCCATGACATGGGGGCACCGTTTGTCTAGGCTGGCTCTCTCCTCCTCCATATGGGTCTCAGGTGTACAATGAGGTGCTGTAAGGAACAGGTCCCTCCTCCTGAGCCATCTTACATTTGTTCCCACCCTGCCACTCCCTCTTACTAGCTTTGTGACCTCCAGAAAGCACTTAACTCCTGTGCATCTTACCTGGATACAAGGAGGACAATCATTTAAAAATATCTACTCAAAGGCAATGATGAGAATTACTGTTTTAAAAACACACGGCATGCAGCTTAATATTTGTGAAATGTTATTTGAGAACATCCACACATTTCCTTGCTTTGAAATAACTTAAAGTTGTTTGCAATCATGTGGGCTAGATTTAATTATTTACATTTCCTTTACATTTATAAATAACAACAAAAAAGTAATCAGAGGCCAGAACTCTGGCAGGGCTGCCTTATTTGGTTTAAACCCAGCAAGTGCTGACATGCTCCTGATTCTAATGAGGTCAAGGAGAGCGTTTTGAACAGAGTGTCTTTTCTCTTGACAGTGAGCTATTTGATCACATTTGCATGATGAGAAACATGATTGGTTTTTTTCATCATGGAAGGGACTTAATGAAAAGCTAATGTATATATTCACTCCCCTGTTCCAATCAAAGACTGTTTTTCCAACCCGATGCTCTCCTACTGAGTCCCTACTAAAATGAAAGATGAACTAGGGTCCCTTATGAGAAAGCTAGCTGGTTAGGATCTCTTCCCTGTAAAAGAGTTAACCATTTTGGTGTCTGTCATTAAGAAGAGCTTGTTTAGGCCTGAGCTCTTATTTTAATGTATAACTGGGTATTTCTTTCCAACTCTCTAAGGAGTAATTAGTCAGTATTTCCAGAGGCTGACTTGGATGCAAACAGCTTGTAGTCACACTCCACATCACAGTGCTCCCCAACTCCAAAGGAAAGTCCTCTTTCTCTGGAGCCCTAGCTACTTTCATTCTTCAGTTGCACTGCTACATTTCGATAATCTCAGCCCTGGCCGGGTCCTTCTTTTCTCTGAATGTCAATATCGCACAGGGCTGTCACAGTGTTTATGTGTGTGCATGAGCAAAGGGTGCTGGTAGGGGACTCTATCTGATCACCCTGGTCCTTGGTAATCCATGCAGGAATGCGCTCAGGCTAATCAGAAAAGAAACGAATTACTATGCCTCAAGGATTCAGGCGAACATGCCAAAGGACAAAGGGTACAATTTCATCCTCAGGCTGCACATGCTGATTGTTTTTTTAATCTATTCCATTGGCTGAGGAGAAATAGGTGAGGTCTGTAGTTCTCAATGAGCTGGAGCCGCTAAAATGTACTGGATGATACATGGCACTGGATGTGCACAAAGGAGGGAAACACCTCATCTTGGCATTGCAGCTTTCTTTCTAGGGTCTGTGTGCTCTCGAGTGATCTAGGGTCAGAGAGTGAGGGCAGGAAGAGAAGGGAAAGAGTCTTAGAAACCCCATTTCCCCTTTCCTGAGCTGTTGGAAAGGCAGACCCACTTCTAAACATTCCCACACTTCAGCAGCAGTGGCTTCATTCATCTGGATTAGAAACAGGAGAACTATTTCCCACACATCAGCTGTGCAGTCCAAGAAGAGTACAGTATTTCACACATCCCCTCTATGCAATAATAGGTTTTATTTTCTTTGAAATGTTACATAATCTTATTATTACCAAATTCCTTCAACCATTAATTCTTTAGAGAAAACATTCAGGGGTGCGATTGTTAGCAGTTCTTCCTTCTACCTGCAGTCTCCCCTCTCCCCCTTATACCATGGATGGATGACTGAGCACAGGCACTGGGAAAAGACACTCAGACAGTAGAGAAATTTACAGCCTCTTCCGAAGAGCTCATATTTACATGAAGGTGCATCTCACCCTGGCAATGTCTGCTTCGCTGGAGTGAATCAAACAACCTCCAAAGTCACACATCACTTCCTTTTTAAACTGTGGGCTCCTGTTGTCACTCTGCACATGATAGTTTTAAGGAGAAATATAAAAAGCACTTAAGAGTTTGCTCCAGTAATGTCTAATGCTTCCAGGAAATAGCTCATCAGCCAGTAAAGAAAGCTGCCTTAGCATGAATGGGTTTATACCCCCACATGGAAATATCAAGGAAACAGCCAATTATTTCTTTGAAGAAGTCTAATGGAAATTACAGTTACGTTCTGAGGAAAGAGTGCACTTCAGAGACTGCATTAATCAGGGTTTGCGTCTGAGGTCACCATGGGACTGTCCTTCCCTGGCAGAGCTCAGCAAATGGTCCTTATTAATTACAAGGCACCACAGACCCTACACAAAATCATTTTTCAAAAATCAGTGCTCTGGCTGGCAAAGATGTTCTCTTTCTTCTAGTGAAAAATCGAGCGTCCCAGAGCTCAAGTGGCTGTTCAGTCTCCCAGTACCAACAGCCATTTTCACCCACAGATGCTAACTGTCCGTTCCCAGGTAACAAATGAAGTCTGCAGAAAACTCCAGAGTTTCTTACCATTGCGATAAAATCTTCCCTCCTGTACGAGTCCTGTGGCTGGGAGCTGTTGCTGGTATGCTGCTTCCCACAGCCTCTGGAGCCTTTGGAGGCAGAGAAGGTTTCATGTGGTGTAAATGTACTGCCACCGATTACATTTCAGTCCCTCAATTGCTGGCCTCGGTGCTTTGGAAATCAGCCAAGTCAAGCGCGAAGAGAAAGGGCTGCAGCTTGCAGTGTCAGAATTTCCCCAAGTATGTGCCCTTAAAAACGTGGGCCCCTCATTGAGCATTGTAGCCAACACCGAGGAGGACAGCTATGTTCAGCTGTTTGTCTCTCTTTTCTTTTCCAAACAAGATGAGTTGTATTGCTTGTGGGTTGAAATTACAGTGAGAGTTCAAGCTGACCCTGGGGCTGCAGGCACAGGAAAGATGTCCATATGCATCCAACCTGCACAGAGAAGGCTGCTTTCCAGCCAAAGGAAAAGAATCCTGCCTAAACAGAGGGAGAAAGAGGGACAGGGCTGCTGCGCACTCCATGGTAACAGCAGCTCGGTCATCAGTAGGTGTTTGCAAAGTCCAGACTAAATCATTTGGTGCAGTGCCAAGAAATCTGAACAGGTGGGAAGAGAAGTTCTTTGTGTATCGCTGTGGTCTATGGAGCATGGAATAAACTTGAAGTTTTTCAAATGCAGGATACTGTTTTCTTAGATGCATTAAATCAAGTCTGTGCTTTTGTATTAAACTATTTGGGCTCTTTGCTTTTTCTATGCGTTACCACATTTTATTGCTTAAATTTTTTTTTAACTCAGAAAAGATTTAATCACACAACTAGCATAGAACAAGAAATGGACCTCATCCAAAGAGCAGAACCCGGCTCTTTAGAATAACAGTACGATAAACAAAAACAGTGGCCACCTTGTTTACCTGCCTTCTCTACTCAGTTTGTAAGTTAACAAGGCAGTTACCATGTCTGTTTTGTTCACTGCTGTATCCCCAGTGCAGCGTTTTTTCCATTCTGAGATATTTTCTAGTTGTGCTAATTCATTATTATCTCACAGTGGTTGGAAATGTTGGCAAAGTCCCACAAATTAGTAAAATTCCTTTTGTTTGGAGTCTAATGTGTTCTAGGCTTAGACTGAGTTCCTTTCATGACTGATTTTCCACTTATAAAAAAGGTAACATTTATATTCCCTCATATGATTAGGTCTAGAAAGGGCAGAAATAACTTCCAGCAAAGCTAAATGCTTGTTCCAGAGCTAAGTGAACCCAAGGAATAAAATTCATGCTGACATCCAAGGGATCTGACTTGTCAGAAGACTCCAAGGCATTTATCAGGCTTGATAGCATCAAAAGGTAGCTGTGAATCAAGAGAGTCCAAGAAAACCACTCACATTTTCACTCCCTGTGGCATTGGCCTTTTAAAACAGAGCAGCAGATATGGCATGCAAACCAGGAGCCCAGAAACCACAACGCCTGGAAGGTGCAGCCATTGCTTGTGCAGAGTAGGTTCTAGACACTTAGTGGATTCACATAGCCCCTTAATGGACTGCTCTGGAGCTCAAGGGTATCAGGCTCATCTCTCCAGGCTGGGATGAGCCAATGTGGCCTAATTTGGGGTCTCATTTCAGGATTCTATCCCTACATCCTTTCTCAAGGGTACTCAAGACATACTGCTTCAATTGTCCCTGGTGCCCAGTTACATCTCCTCATATGGAATGAGATGGTGCAGCCTGACCAGGAAGATGACTTCACTGCCATTTCCCACTAGCCTCCGTCTTTGCGAACGATGAAAACCCCCTACTAAATATCAATGAGGCATCTTCTTTTTCTTCCACCTGTTCTTCAAAGTGCAACAATATTTTCCTCTTCAGGAAGATGCCTCTGATAGCTTCAGCCCATCACAATTTTTCTGCTCTCTCTTACTCATCTCTGCACTAACCATTTAGCATTCAAGGATTTAGCATTTAATTATATGTCGTCTTCTGACACTTCTTGATGCCATTGGCTTTTAAAAATTTTTTTAGGTATATTTTACCATCTAGCCACACTGTAAACACATTACTTCTGTTTTAAAATTTACTCTTTCCCTCTCCCCTGTTCCTCTCTTCCTCTCCCTCTTTCTCTCATATGCTGGGAATGGAACTCAGGGCCCTGCATATCCCAGGTAGGTCCTCTACCACTGAGCTGCACCTTCAGTTCCTTCTAAAACTCATCAGTGGCATTCCTCTCACTGTAGGATAAAAGTAAGACCATGGCATTAATGTTCTCCATACAGGGTACAAGAGTCAGCATTTCCATTTCTGGATACGCTATGCCTCCACAATCCACCAGACATACCTAAACATGTGCTTCACCAATCCTCTGGGTAGCTCACCAGTCAGTTGACACAATCGAGCTTAATCATCAAATCTCACTCCTTGTCAACATGATACCCAAACATATCTCCTTAAACCAATAAACATGAAGTCATTAATTCTGCCTAACACAATACAATTATTAGAGATGCAAGGAAAAATGCAATAATCCCTTCTTCACAGACTCAACAGTTCCAGGATTTTTCAAAACTTCAAATCCAAGTCTCTTGTGAGACTCAAGGCAAAGTCTTAACTATGAACCTCTGTAAAACAAAAAACAAGGTACATAATGCCAAGTTACAACAGCACAGGGTAAACATTCCCATTCCAAAAAGGAGGAATAGGGGATACCAATGAATAAGACCAAAGCAAGACCAAATCTTAGGAGGTCAAGCATTAAATCCTGTAGCTCCATGTCTGCATCCAAGGCACTGAGTGGTGAGAGCTGAGTTCCACAGAGCTTGGGCAGCCTCCACCTACATGGTCTTGCTGGTTTGTAGCCCACACCACCTCTCTCTTGGGATGGCTTTGCTCAGAGACTGCAGCTTTCATTTTCAGACAGTCCATATTCCTGGCATCTCCAACTTCCTGGGGTCTCTCTTTGGCTTCAATCCCACATCTTCACCCTTTCAGCCCATGGTCACTGGCTCCAAGGTAGAAACATCGTAGTAGAAGGGCATGAGAAAGCAAAGCTGTTTAGTTCAAGATGGCTAGGATGCAGTGTGGGAAAACAGCACCAGAGAGAAAGGGGTGAGGCACCAGATACAGTACCCAAGGCTGTGTCTACATGACCCATCCTGACACACCCAGAAGTGCGCTCCACCAATACCCTTGACAGCTCACAAGCCAACCAAGTTGACACAATCAGGCTGAACCAACACATCAGGGCTCCATGAAGTTTCTTCTCCCACATCTTCTGCTTTATTTGCAAAGAGCTTTTTGCAGTGCATCCAATATACTGAGCCCACTCATGCTTCCAGGCCTTTGTACACAAAGTACTCTTTTTCAGGAACAGTTGTTATCATATCCTCTTGGAGTTCCTGGTCAATCCTCACTCTCTGTGCTGTCTCCCTTCATCCTCCTTGAAGGATTGATTGACAAGCTGGAGGTAGCAGGTATATTAAATGTTGATGAATAGCCTCCTCTCATTGTCTTGCACAAACTCAAATAGATTTAGAATCCATGCTTTTTCTGAAATGAGAAGTGATCAAAAAGTGCATTGGCATTTTCCCCCTAAAAAAGTATGACTTTTTCTCAAATAAATTAACCTAGTAGAAACATTATGGGACCATGCAAAGTCCCATGAATAATCACTTGCCCGTTGACTGAATCAGAATTCTATGGATGTAAAAAATTCTTCAGACAATTGCGTTAAATGAAATTGTTGGAGTTCTCAGCTTGATTTGATAAGAAACCCACTGAATCACAGCCACCTCAATGACACCTACATCCAGACATCATCAGGAGAATATTAAGAATTTCTTGAGAGGGAAATAGAAAAAAGGTAGAATTTTCTATAAAGTAGTAGTTCATATATTTTTGTAAAAACAAATGTAGATATCCAAAAAGCCAGTGCTTTCCTCTGAACCACCAGGGCGCTCTTCCTCCACACACACTAACAGGTACAGCAGTAAAATGCCTGAGTCCAAAGGAGTAAGAAACTCAGAAGAGCTGCTGCTTTGAGGTTCAAGGAAAGAGAAATCCTTTGCAAATGTTCCGTGGTCTGAATGTTTACATTCGCCTCCAAATCCACACGTTGAAACCTAATGCCCCATTGACATGGTATTAGGAGTGCAGGCCTTTGGGTCATGACAAGGCCATGTGCCCTTATACACGAGACCCAAGGAGCTTGCCCTTCCACCGCGTGCACCTATAGTGAGAAGGTGCCATCTACGAAGCCAGGCCCAATGTCGCATGGGAACCTAATCTGTCCGTGCCTTGATCTTGGACTACTGAGCCTCTAATACTGTGAACCAGAAATTTCTGTTATTTATAAGCCACTCAATTTAACAGTATCTTTGTTATAGCAGCCAGAATGAGCTAAGAGAAAAATACATATGAAAAGCAACTATTTCATCTAGGTTTTTCTTACAAGCAAACCTATTTTATTTTTTCAATGATATCTTTATCACATTTCTAAAAAATATTTAAAATGTGGAGGAAATGAAAAAAAGTAGACTTTTAATTATTCCATAGCAGCAAAATAACATCCATACTCTGTACCCCACAAAACAGAACAGAGGGAACCACTGAGAGCTGCTCACCTCTCCCTGTCTCTCCCATTTCCACTTTTGCATTTTGTTTTTGCAAACAAAATGGGGATCAAACCTCACACATGCTGGACCAAGCACTGGATCACTGAGCCACACAGCGGCCCTCTCACCTCTAGTTTTAAGCCCAAATCCCATCTGCCTGTGCTGCGCCTCTGTCTTCTCCCACGCTGGAGATGGTCAGCCTCAGCCACCCATCCCGCCACACCTCTGCAGCCAATTCAGGGGGCAGCAGCGCTGGGGGAGCTCAGCATGGGCCAGCGATGCAGAGTCCCTTAGGAACATGTACATTCAGTTTAATCTCCAGCACACTTCGTCTAAGAATCTAAAGCATGTAGGGATGGCCTTCGGTTTCTAATAACATTTCAAAGGTTTCTCTGTCCATAGACTTAAATTGATGATGGCAGAGGCAAAATTAGGTCAAAGCGCTGAGAGTAAGAAACTATCACTTCCTAAAACTTCCCCCAAGTTTGCCAAGCATTTGAATTTATGAAAAGAGTGATATGGGAAAACCTATTTCAGAAGTAAGATATTTACATTAATTCCAATTATAGTGTTATTGTTGAGGCACAAAATCAAACGAGATACTTTTAAACCATGACAGGTGGCTCCAACAGGGAGGAATGTAAGGAGACAGCAGTAAAATGTGAGTGCCCTTAAGTAGAAGTGGTCATCAGAGTGCTCTGCAGGATCTAAAAGATCTAGCAGAAAACACGGAACCCATTTCCCAGACTATCCTGAGCTGCAGAGAGAACTGAAAAAAAGACCTCCATCTTTGCAGGTCTACACCCCAGACTGTATTTCTTCCCTTCCACCAACTACCTATGTTCCTGTTCTTCTTTCTCACCACAAGAGGGAGCTGAGGCATGAGGGTAGTTCTCAACTCTTTTAAGTGGTAACAAAATGACTTTTATCACCAGTGACAGTAACTGGAGTGAATGCCTCCAACCAGAAAAAAATGTGATAAATCAAATGCTCAAAATGAGCTTCAGAGGCTGTCCTCCAGCTGAGACTGTTCAAATCCCCCCGACATATATATGTGCATAAAGCATGGCTACTGGGCTTTTTCTTTTCTCTTCCTTAATATCAGAATGCACAAAATATTTGAAAAGTTTCACCAAAATGAAGATAATCCCAATACACATTCTAAGCATTAAAATGTTTGACTTTTTTTAACTAATGACTTTAATCACGGAGAACTCATTGGATTGATTTTTACATGGATTAAAAGCAATCTGTAATTTATCTTCCACTCTCTAATTTTTTTGGCATAAATGATTACTCAGAGCACAGAGTCTTCCGAGGCCTATTGAAGAGAACAGTTTAGTGATGCCAAACAAGCAGTTTAATGAAGTAACTCTCCTCATTAACCTTTGGCCAAAGTCACATCTGTACCCATTCCTTACTTAGGCTCTTTAATACTTTAAAAGCAGCAGCCAAATTCAGTTCTAATTTGCCTCTGAAGTGTTCAGCACAGCCTACTTAGAAAAGTGATTATCCTTCAATTTGTAGACAACAAGGCAGGCACTCACACAGGGTCCCAGGAGGCATCAACCAAACACAGTGCTGGTCCCAGAGGGGAGCTTTATGCTCAAATCAACACAGGAGCTCACCTTATGTGGCAACTCTACAAAGCTGTGCAAGATGTCTCAAAGTCAAATGCAGTTACA